ATCTTTCTTTTATAAATATTAAAATCAATAAATAAATAAAGAACAAGAAAGATTGGTGATAGATAAATTTTAAAATAGATTCAATCTATGTATGGCCCATAAATTTGTAGCTTGCTTTGTCTGTATGTGTTTCCTCTTATATACAATTTTCTCTTCACCGCTAATACAAAAATAAACACACCCATAGATAGCCCATCGGTAAGAGCAAATTAACGGTGATTGCAAATAGATAGAACCTAGAGTCTTATGTTTGATTTCTAGATGTAAATGCAATACCTTTGCCTATAATTTACTTGGAGGCTATGACGGTGGATTCATTCTTCTAAATATTAGTCGATGTATGTGTAAAAAAAAAAAAAAAAAAATACAAAAATATTAAATTGAAATTAAAAAAAAAATAACACGTGTTTCTTTATCTTTTTCATAAAATACATGAAAACCATCAAAACATTGTTTTTTAATAGTCTTAAGATGTGTCATAAGAGCAATAGTAAAGACAACTCATCCATAGATTTATGATCTTTTCGAGTACTTAAAAAAAAAAAAAAGAACTTGTTTGATATTGTTTCTCATAAAAATATCTTAAAGCATTTTCTGAAGCAATATTTGATAAGTAAATGTCTTTTTACACTTTTTTTTATTTAAAAAAAAGTACTAGAAAATAGTCAAGAATATGCTTTGATGATTAAAAAGCATTTTTTGACATTAACATAGACATTTCTGTTTACTACAAAACCTTTAGGATAAAAATGCAATAAATAATAAGGAAAAAAAAAAAAATACTTAATCAAAAAGTACTTTTTCTTTCCCCCTTTTGACTTCTTTTTTCTTCTCTTTATCCTTATGATAGGCGAGGAGTAGCATGGGCTGTGACTAGGGCACGAGAGTGCTTTCGGCTGACACCACCAAAGCCGAAGGTGCGGATATGGGACCTCTGGCTTTTAGTCTAGAAGTGTTGAGAAAAAGCTATACCTTTTTTACAGAACCTGAGGGCCTGAAAGGCTGAATCCCACCATAATCAACATATGCCCAAAACTTTTTAGTGAAATTTTGTAGATTAGTGATAAGGGTAATTCAAAATTTTGTAAAAGATTGACTTAGGAAAGTGTAAGTCAAGGCATTCAATGGTTGGATGTTATGTGGTTCGAAAGAGGTAACATTACTAAATTTTATACCAAAATATAATCTACTAATTTACACGATTGTTAGATGTGTAAAATTTGTATGCATATGCCTACAAACTTTTACTAGACAAGTTTTGGTAATAGCAAGTTAGACTTGAACTGTCTCTGAGTGACCTAGTGGTTCGATAGAGACAGTTGAGTATATTATTCAAGAAGTCGTAAATTCAAGTTTCTCCTTGGTTGCTAATATGGATAACCACTAGAACTCTTATCCGACTATTAGTTCTAAAATCTTGAAAGATTAGTTAAAGTACGTATAAATTTATCCGAACACCCTCAATCATTAAAAAAAAAAAAAAAAAAAATGTTAATCTTGAATGTTTCATGACAACTCAAATTCGTTTAGCACAAAGGACACGTGACCGGTCTAAGGTGTTACTACTTACTACACTTCAATAGGTCAAAGATGAAAGTTGAAGATAGTTATTTTCCATGCTACCTCAACAACATTTAAACCGATTATAATTAATTAATGACTATAAATTAGTATCATATATTTAAGTTGATCATATCCAAAGCTTATACTTATATACCCCTGAGTATGCAAATGTAGCACCAAAATTCATTTAGTACTATTGACAATAATTGAAGTTAATAAACAGGAGCTTTGAATCCTTATAAATAATGAGCTTTGCACATTCGTTAAGAGGGAAATTGAGAAATCTATGTGCTAAACTAGGAATTGTTGTTAAATGGGGCCTTCAATAATACTAAAAAGCTTCAAGCAACAACCACCAAATTGGTTCGAATGATGCAAAATCTATACAGATTTTGTACCAAGTCAATGCACCTAAATAAGATTAGAAGGTGAAAAAATGATCTAAATAATTATTATGATGTGGGCTTCAAAGCAATTTCTCAAGAGCCAGCCACATGACCTGTTTCAATAATGGTAGAAAAGTAAGTACAGCTTTAAGAGGTGATGTTACATAACGCCACTAGATTTATCAATTTTGCGTCAAAATCAGAGTATGCGGCTCAGATATTCTTCGGTAACCTGTTCTTAAAAACAAATCTAAATGATCGTCGATAACCACCATATAGCAAAAGCCAAACCCTTGCAAACAAAGATAAACTTGCACCCTAATATTGACATTTCATAACATTACAGGTATCAACAGGATAACAAAGAATCTCTGATGCTAATGACAAGAAAATACTTACAATGTAATAGCTACAGTGTAGCGTTCATTATGTGGAAGGGTGCTGCTGATTCATTCTATAAAACATCCGAGACAAGGAGGCTCATCATATATCGAGAAGACAATGATCTGAGATTTGGCAAATCTTAAAAAAGTTTGGGACCAAAGTCATTTCGGAACCACAGTGAGAAATTGCAAATTCAACAAACATCACTTTTTCATGAAAAAAGTATGTGCACACATGTGGGTCTGGCTTGGGAAATGTCCAAAAGGAATTTCTAGTCAGCAAAGACAAATGCTAGAGTAATAGAGAATGAATCATCTTATGAGCTTCAAGTAAAATTATCACAAATAATAATGAATCACAGCTGCTACAATAGCTTCCAAAACCTAAAAGCAGTTTCGTTTTATTCCACATGTTCAAAAGGATGAAACAGTAAAAGCATCTTGTGAGTTTCCCAAACAGAGCTGAGCAGTGTTCATGCACAAAGTTTGTCATGCCAAAAGTAACCATTCAAATTCAAGTGTTTTTTGCATAAAATTTCAAAATGATGTATTTGGCTTTAAAACTAAATGTGACTACTCTAGTAGCTATCACTAACTTATAAGATAAGGCAAAACGATAAAAACAACATCACATCATAGTGACTAACTACAGAGTTTCAATCTACTATCTCATAATTCTGGAATTTTTGGCCAGAAAAGAGCCCCTAATTAGCAGACAATGTGTAATAATCATATGCTACTAAAATTTAAGGGAGCATCAGCCTATCTTTAAATATCAAAAACACCAAAAATGGGACTGATAGATTAAGAATTGAAGAAATCAAAAATGGGGATAATGAAAAGCAATAATGCTGTGATGCATGATAGGCAAATGATTCTATTTGTTCAATAATTAAAGTGAAGAGGAAACAGAAAATGTCTTTAGCTACTATATGTTGCATGCCCTCAAAAATCCTTAAAAGATTAAAGTTTCAATATCAGTTGTCCACAAGAAAACTATGTGCACTACATGTTAATGACAAGTGGTCACAGATTTCTGAAAGCTCAAGCAGAGATACCATTTAGAAGAACAAGCCAGATAAACCACCTTGAAGACTACATAAAGAGCATTTAAATCTTGTCCACCTGAGGGGGCAGCTTCATGCAATCTTGTCGCAAGCAGATCCATATGAAAGCTCCCTAACGAAATGGCCTACAAATATATTCTTGGCTGTCATGTGACAGTGTAGAGTTGCTGACCTTTGTGGTCATCACCATCAACGCCATCATCAATCAAAGTCTATCTACATTATTTCAACATTGGTTGAACAGTTCACCACTTGTCACTTTTTCCTACGTGCAATCATTTTCTTTTCCTGTAAATCATGAGTTTGTGACCCGAAACAGTAGAATAAATTATGTAGTGATCATTGCTATCATCAGCATGACCAAAGAATTATTATCATTTAAACAAGAGGTGTTCAAGAATGCATAGCTATAGCCCAACGCAAAACACTTTATTTCTCACAACTTGATGGCGTAGAAGTAAATTCAATGCTGCTTAACCTACAAAAGTAAGATTTCTGCACAGACACCTACTTAAGCTGCCACCATCACTGACAAAATACCACTATCAACAACCATCTTAACTCAGAAATTCTCTAGTTCTTTTTCCTCACATGATCCCTTGCCTTATATAAAACTCTAATATAATTGACTTTTTCAATTGAAAGGTAACAGTGTTCAGTTAGAAATATGCAAAGAATGGCGAAAGGAATCATGTCCTAGAACAGTAGAAGCATACAAAAAACCACACCAATATGTATGTACACACAAGTATTCAACTTTTAATAGTGTGCATGTATAATGCCAATTCAGATTTGAAATCTATATGGGCACCACAATGAGAAAAATTGAAAAAAAGGGGAAACGTCGGCAAGAGATCAAAGTCACAACCCCACTTAATAATGGGTATACGTGGATGTTTTATTGTCTTACGTTAAATGTACAACACTGAACAATTACACTTTCATCACTTTTCTAAATTATTGTTCTTTGAAGTTATTTATTTTCCAATACTTTTAACCTCAAAATCGTTTACTGAATACAAATGACCACTCTTATCTGATGCGCCCCCCCCCCTCTCTTTTTTTCTTCGATAATGAGTGTATGCATGGTCATTGAATCGATTGTACAATCATAGAGATATTTGTATAACCAAAGTCTTGCCTCTTTTGCTAAAGAGTATTCATAATTTGTTGTAACTATTGACCATCCATGTGCATTCTAATATTTTCTTATCATTGCACAACTATTTCATATGGGGGCTTTTATACATATTACTTGAAATTAGTTAATTTCATAAACATTTATTTTGCCTAATTTCATGAACACTATAACAAAATGATAGCTACAGTACTTTAAAGTGATACAATGATTTGGACATCAAAATTGTAGTATTCTTGATGATATATTAGAAGAAAAATGTACAACTGAACAAGTTATATTTTCCAGATTATGAGATGAAACTACATCATTAAGTTAATTTTATAAACTGCAGTGCATAAGATTTCATTTCATTCCAATTAATCATTCATCATAGAAAGAAGTTGTTTTGATTAAAAAAAAATAAAAATAAAACTACTACTTATGAGAGTCATTAGCAAAACTACTACTTATAAGAGTCATTAGCATATATATTAATTATAAGAGGATTAACCATATAGTAATAAAACAGGTTGGTGATAGGGGTAAATTACATACCCCCTCCCCCCCACACCACCGCCATTTTCTTTTCCTGAAAGGAAAAAGGAGCACAGATAGACTGTTTGAGCTCAAATTACATATCGTTCTCATCCTTCCATGTTGGTGGTGACAACTATGGACTAAAGATAAAGCTACCAGTGGCGGTGGCAACACATCATTAAATTATTATAGCCATAATAACTGGTAAATCATGTAACCTGGGCCTTTTTGTGTGAAGAAAGCTGTCTACAGACATTTTCTCTTCCCAAACAATCAGAGAAATTAGTCCATCATTTCTCATGTGTCTGCAATTTAAACAATTAATCAACATTAGATACTTCCCAAAACATCTTTAACACTTACTGACACAATTGCACGTATCAGCAAGATATAATTGCGATTATTATGAGACAAAGAACAAGAAACATATTTACATATGTGGAACCATCGGCTACATAATTCCATATATAAAGTAAAATATTATCAAAATGAATGTATAAAATCTTGTCTGCCATGTTCGTCTGTTAATATTGTGACTTTTATGCTGACGTATTTGTCCTATCTAATCCACGTATTTACTGTGGCCTAAAGATCAAAAAACACAGCATAAAAAACAAGTAAATGGACAATGACGGTGCAGTATAACACCCAAGCAAGCTCATCTAAAAAATCAGAGTCTCCAAGAAAAAAAATTCAACTAGTTTAAGTGATTATAAAAAGGGGAGACAAAAGAGGCAAGAAAGGGTCAAGTACAATAATGTATGAGAAAGCATTACTCAAAACCTAAAACCAAATACTAATCATTAAGCAGTGCTGATTTTGCCCAATCAATATAAAAGGATGGGGACTGATGCAAAAACAAGCATGAGAAGGATAAAGTGTTATCTAAAGCTATGCATCATAAAGAACTGAAAGAAGAAAAATACAGCAGAAAGCGGGTACCTTAGAAGAAGTGCATAAATCAACAAAATCAGTACAAAACTATCCAAAGTCAATCTAATGCTTCCATCCCTTGGAGTGACCATCTTCCATGTATGGCTCAAGAAATCCAATGAACTGAAAAGACACAAATGCACATGATTATTAAGATCTTAAGTTTGCCAGTCACCACAGGTAATTTATATACTCCAATCATAGAAAAATTATTTCCAAAAATTTGATTTTATGCCAAGAGAAATCATTATTCAGAACTGCAGCTGTGGCATCTTGAAATAAAAATCGCAGCAAGCCAAAGATTTGAACCTTTATGGTTTCTACATATAGAAGTAAAAATGTTTTTACCCAAATGCTCTGTGGCGAAATCATGTTTGGTAAGAAATTAAAATACAAAATAAACAAAAAGAGCAATAGAATTAACTCAAAACCTCAAACTCAAACCAATTCTCCAACTTAACTCCTTTCATTACATTAAAAGAAAAAATAAGTACAAGGAACTTTTCAAATAAACATGACTGTTAATACAAATATAAGTTGCAAGCACACTTGCAATACTAAACATATACCTTGGTTCCATCTTTGGACCACCGTGCACCATAACCATCAGCTACTCTTATCTCAAAGACAATCCCATGAGGTTGAACAATGTGCACATTCAACCAGCAACAATGGGCTATTAAACGACAAATGACATCCATTGCAAGCCTATTTTTGTCAGAATCTGGAATTGTAAAAATAAGAAGGTAAATAATGCAGGAATCAGATGCTAAAACTAATAAATAAAAGTAATTATTATATTTTTCATATTTATTTTTTGTCCAAGGAAAAAATTAGCTTCATTAGAAAATGAAGGAAATTGGAAGTGCGTAGACTGTGACATGCAATAAAGGATACCCATCATTCCTAGCCCATTTCACCAAAATCCCTTAACTACACAGTAAATATTTCCTACAATGATATATAAGTTTTTTGTATTGAAATTGGATCTTCAATTAAAGGACAATGTGCTATACTTAATATTAATGTACAGGAATTCCAATTGATGGCCCAAACCTCCATTACCATCTTTCAATATGCAATCCAAAACCTCAAGAGTGACCTCCAAAGAAGAACTGCATTCTTCACATTCCTATGGTTGTTTTAAATCTGAAAACAGGACGATTGGTGCAATAGGCTATGATATCATCTTGAGTCACCATTAATCTCAAATAGCTATGTTTATAGAAAAGGGCTCAGCAATAGTATATAAATTCAAAAAGTACCAGAGTAAAATTCAAGTTCACATTGGTACTAACCACTTCCATTAAAAATACCCCAGTATCTGTTGCTGCTCCTATTAACATGCTTTGCCAAGGCCCTGGCTCCTTGAGTTAAGGTACTACCTTTGACCTCAACCAATTAAACAGAAAGTTCAATAATTAAAACACATAAGGGAACAAGGAAAATATCTTGAGCTGGATACAGTAAATATTTCTCTTCGATTTTACAATCAAGACAAACATATATTCTTTCACAAATCATTATCTTACATTTGGTTTAAATGGCAACAAGAATGATGACAGAAGAGTTGATCTTGGTGGGGGGAGTGCATCCGAAATCGTTCCAGGAGTATGTGCAAGACCCAAAAGGCTTTGAATGCCCTCATAACCAAGTCCCGGAATCAAAAACATGAAATTAACCTACCAACGGATGAAACAAAAAACAAAATACTGCAGTAAGTAAGCAACTCACAGACAGTATAGTTGCCAGTGTAATGTAAGGTTGAGTAGCCATTTTAGAAACACATATTGCAAGGACACCATTGAGCCTTTCCTTCTCCTCCACATAAAACTTGCTATAAATTTCCATACCTGAAATAGCCATTCATCCATTACTCCTGAATGATTCTGACATTGATGAAAAGCTAGTAGTTTTCCCAAATTCTAAGGCTCATACTGAACCAGCCATCTACTCGAACAAAACAAAGTATTTGTCTTCCCTGAGTTTTAAACTAAGAATTTCTATTTAATTGCTTAAATAGACTCTCTAATACCTTCTTCAACAGTTTTAACTCCAGGAAGGACTTTCGCAAGAGTCTCTGCTTCTAACAACTCTGAAAATGAAGCACAATGGCGAACAGTCTGCCAATTAATGAAATTACAAAAGTGAAGCTGGAAAATAAGGCAAGAACAAATAAGTTAAATATAATGTCACCTGAACTTCAAGCATTATACATTTATTTAACAGAACCATTGAGCCTGGTCGAAGTCTGTGCCAAATAAATTACAAATTAAATTAATATATTAGGAGAGAAGGATAATTATCAATCATACAAATAAAGACAACGACAAAAACAACCACCCCACGCCCCAAACAACTCCAACGGTATTAAAAAAAAAAAAATTAAATTAGTCACACCTATTGTAATCATCCATTGCACACCTTCCCTCAACTGTTTTCAGGCCATCTACAATTTATTTGAAACAAAAAAGTTAACTACTTAATTAAAAACAAATAAAAAGAGATAATAACAGACTATATAAAACATAAATCATTCTACCTTTTATCAATGAAAAGAAGGGTTCCTGAACATCAAGTTCAAAGTCTACCGTCTTCAAAATCTACCACAAATCCATCAAAATATTAGAGTAAATCTCACTGACCTCCATCAAAGTTTGACTTAATTACAGATAGATCCACTTTGTTTAAGAAACATGCAAGTTTTTGAGAAATTTTATAAAACTTCAAGGAACTTCTCTCTTCAATATTAGAAGAGGTTTTTGCCAATCTCGGAACTAAAAGAGTAGAATCTATTTAGCTCAACTTCTGGAAGTCAATGAAAATTTTCCATTACATTAAAAAAAATTATTTAACCTGCATTGAAGTTTCACTATAATGCAGAAGAAAACCCTACTAGTTCTAATATTCATCAGAAAGATCTCCTAAAATTTTAAAAATCTCTTCTAAAACGGTCAAAAACCTCCTCCAAAGTTTCATAAAGTTTATCGAACAGTTTCATAAGTCTAACAAACAAACAAATTATAACATCAGCCGTACAATTCATTTCCAAACATATTCATGCCACTTATTTAAATGAAAATTTTGAGGTACGAATCCAAAATTCGGACCTCAGTGTGAACCAAGCAAAATTAAAAGACTCTGCTAGTAATTCATTTCCGAACCAAACTACAAATGAACAGCTCATCTTTAGTTAAGTCAAACTGAAAGAGAAAATTGAAATTTATTTTTGATTAATTATGTACTAATAATGTATTAACTAAAGTACAAGCAATTATGGCTTACATTGATCAATTCAGCTCCCTTATTCAGAATCAATTCACTCCACTCGTCTTCTCTCTGTTTCAGCAAACCATCTCCATGAACCAAAACGCCGTAATTATACGTCCGACAAAACGCCCTACAACTCACCGAACGAACCAAAGCTAAAGCCAGTCGTTTGTATAGAGGACATAACGGAACTCCTTGGAGTGAATCTTGATCGAAATCAACAACATCTAAAACGAATCAATTAATCAATGAATTACGAAATTACAAGCTAATTAACAAATGGAGTAGGCGTATTTTTTTGTTACCGGTGGCGACTGAAACAGCGTCGTTCGCTTCACGGAGGAGGAGGTTGGAGCAGAATTGGCTGGAGAGGCCGAGGTCGAAGCCTAGGGTTTGGTTTATGTGAGAGTTTAGAGTGAAGCTCAGTAGCTCTTCTACACACTCTTTGAGTCGCTCCATTTCTTTGAATTTTGCTTCGTTTTTCCGTTACCGCTTCTGCGTTTGTTTTGTATAAGGGAAAAAACGACATGGTTAGAACTACCATAATTACGAAAACACCCTTCTCAAATTTATGAGAAAATAAAACATTACAGTAATTTGAACGCAGCCCCTGAATATGAAAACAGAGCTATATATTATATATCATGAAGGTAAAAGTGTACATGAAAGTCTAGATTACAATCGGTAAAGCAAACTGGAATTCTTCTTCTTCTTCTTTTTTCTGCTACAGGAAGTAGATGAAAGGTGATGCAATATCAGGCCCTGTGGAAAGAAGAGCAGTTTTCATGTTAAGAATTCTTAACAAAATGTAGACTACAAAAAGGAAATAATGGAAGAAATTTGTTTTAACAATTCTTACTTGTTTTCAGGCCTTTGCCGCTACTCCCTTACAAAAAGAAAAGCTTCCGCGGTCTCAGGATCTACGTCAAAAGTCTCCATAACATCATCGACTGAGGGATTCGACTGAGCAGTTGAAACTGGTATTGCCAAGAAATCACGCGCCATCTTTGCTAGTTTTGGGAATTTTGGTGTATTGGCACGCCACCAAGTTAGTATGTCAAAATCTCCAACTGAACGAAATTTAGGTTCTTCTAAATACCGTTCAAGTTCTGATTTTTCTAACTTGCCATCTTCAGCATCGTTTGAAGAAGTACTCCCTGGCATTCCCAGAGGATCTAGCATGTCAAAATAACCAGTTAAATTGTTGGAGCCGCCGCCCGAGTATTCTTTGTAAAGTTGTTTAAGAGTGTAGTTAATTCTTGCACACTGCTCGTCAGCATAATCCTGGCCAAAGATTTCCTGGAACCAGCGCCTCACTATATCGAGTTTAAACTGCGGGTCAAGAATTATAGCTATTGCTAAAACCAAACCACATTTTTCCCAATATGTGTCAAATTTTTTCTTCATCTTACAAGCCATCAAGGAAACATCTAAATTGTCACCTTTGACCCATTTACGCAGGTTGCTATATCTATATGTTGCAAACCTGAGGAAAATAATCGTTTGTGGTTAGGCATGATTGTTTCCCTGAAAGGCTCTTAGCAACTTCATCCAACACTTTTACATGCTGGCAAATGTAGGTAGCCTTATCCCATTCCTCATCTTCTGGATTTAACCTGTCAAAATCCAGATCGATCATCTTTAACATATTAAAAGCTTCTCTTAACCTAAAAATTCCCTCAATTTTTTGGAAGCTAATAAATGTCCCACTCGCAGGCATATCTTCATAAGTTACAATGTTACCTTTCTCCCTCTCTAGATCTATTGCCATTTTGATGTTTTCATATCGTTCTGGTTTATTTTGGATATAAAAAATGCCTTCATTACATTGAGAAGTGCATCTTTTCCTTCCTGAGATCCATCCTCAATAAGAAGATTGAGAATATGTTGTAAGTAAATCGATGGGGTAAACGCAGCAGAAAACAAAAATATTTCCCATCGATTACTCTGATTAACCCAAGATCAGGGTCTAATATGTACCCAAGATCTTCCCAATGTTCAACTACCTCTTATGGCACATTTTCCCATCCTTCATCTAATGTATCTTATGGTACTAGAACTTCATCGAGTTCTATTTTTCTCTCGCTAGTATCTCTTAGAAAAAAATTCCTTCTCTAAGAAGACACCAGTACGAGCGACAAATATACATTTGCAAGATTTCAGGTTTAGCTTGTTTGAAGTCAATTTCTTGATCTAAACTTCACAACCCCAAATCCTTAGATAAGACAAGTTGGGCCTTCGCCCACTCCATATATAGTTCATATAGAGTCTTATCTACAGACTTTTATGGCACACGGTTCAATATGTGAATCGTAGTCTCTAGGGCATAACCTCAGAATGATGCAGGTAGATCACTAAAACTCATCATAGACCTAACTATGTCAAGTAAGGTCATATTCCTCCTCTTAGACACTTTATTGTGTTAGGGTGTGTACGGAGGAGTGAATTGTGATATTATCCAACATTCCTTTAGGTATTCAGAAAACTCTAAGCTTAAGTATTCACCTCCCTGATTAGACCAAAGAGCTTTAATACTTTTGTCCAACATATTCTGTACTTCATTTTTGAATTCTTTGAATTCATCAAAGGCTTCAGATTTATGTCTCATAAGATAGACATAACCGTATCTACTGAAATTATCAGTAAGTGTGATGAAGTACGAATATCCACTTTTGGCTTCAACTGTTAGTGGACCACATACATCACTATGGATGATGCCTAATTGTTCAGTAGCCTCTTCACTTTGTCCTATGAAAAGAGACTTGGTCATCTTGCCTAAAAGGCATGACTCACATACCTCAAATGACTGAAAGTCAAAAGGGTCTAAAACTTCGTCCCTTTGAAGTTTTGCAATGCAAGTTTGATTAACATGACCCAATCTACAATGTCAGAGGTATGTCTGGTTTCGATCGCTATCTTTAGCTCTCTTGGTTTCAACATTGAGAATATCTTTATTGTTTAAATCAAGAACATATAATCCGTTATATAACCTTGCAATTCCAAATAGAAGACCATTGAAACTATAGGACAACAATCCATTAGAAATCTCAAAATGATACCCTATATTATCCAAAGCGGATACTGAAATAATATTTTTGGAAATAGAAGGTACGTAATAATAGTTACGAAGTTCTAACAACAAGCCCGTTGGCAAAGATAAACAATAAGTTCCTACAGCTAATGTGGCCACATGTGCTCTATTTCCAACTCGTAGGTCCATTTCTCCCTTGGCGAGCACTCTACTCTACCTTAGTCCATGCACATCCCTATAAATGTGAATACCACATCCTGTGTCAATGATCTAAGATGTTGAAGGAGAGAAATTAATCTCCATCATGAACATACCTAAAGTCGAAGCCTCTGACTTCTTCTTGCTCGCGAGGAACGCCTTGTAGTGCTTCCTCCAATGGCTAGGCTTGCCACAATAAAAGCAAATTACTTTCCCACCCTTCCCAACACCACTCTCAGGCTTAACATCATCCTGTCATTTGGGCTTATGCTTGGGTTTGGCCTTGGCCTTTCCTTTGCCTTTACCTTTTCCTTTACTGGCAACAACTAATAAAACAGGCTTGGACCTTTTCATGTCTTGCTCTGCAATCCTCAGCATGTTCAGAAGCTCTGACAGGGATTTCACTATTGTGTTTATGTTGAAGTTCATTATGAACGGTGTAAAAGAATCAGGTAAGGATTGCAGAATTAAATCCACTTGTAATTCTGCATCCAACCTAAAACCCAAAGTCTCAAGCCTTTCCATGTGCTCGATCATTTTGAGCACACGAGGACCAACTTTGGCTCTCTCAGTCATACGACTCCTAAACAGTGCACTCGACACCTTGTACCTCTCATGTCGAGCATTTTCTTTGAAAAAGCTCCTTGAGGTGCATAATGATGGCAATAACGTCCATATTCTCATACTGTTTTTGCAGCCTAAGTGTCATCGATGCTAACATGAGGCATTGAACGCCATCAACATCATCAATGAACTTTTGATAAGTATCCTTTACTTCCTGAGTGGCATCAGGATCAGACTCAACCATATGGCTTATCAAGGATATACAATTTCTTTTCGAACTTCAATATAATTCGAAGATTTTGGTACCAGTTTGAGAAATTGGATCCATCCAGCTTGTACTCTTTCTCGATTATCGGTCGTAGGTTCATAATGCTCATTTTGGTGAATCTACAATTGTTGAAAAGTAAAAGTTATTATAATGTTCATTATTGTTTAATATGGTCCTTTATTAAAACACTCCCACTATTTTCCTCAAGTCAATAGCCCTCACTATTAACTCGGGAAAGCCCGTTGGCTTTCCTAGTTGATTGAGATCCCATCTAGCCCATTTCAAACCTTCGCTTTGGTGAACATGCCAAAATGGGTTGATTAGGTAGGCCAACAAACTTAATCTACACCAGTTGATAGCTCCCACTATTAACCTCAAATGTGAAGCAAGCCAACAAACCAATCACACAATCTAACGACCTAGCCATCATCCTCAAGTGTGATTCTTAGTATCAGTAGAGTGGACACTACATGTCGCCACGTACACACGGCATGTGTACTTCTTTACTATGCCTATGACATGCTTATCAACCTCCGCTTTGGCGAACAAGCAAAACATGTCATTTTAAGTCGACCCATCACCATTAAGGAAAACTCCAAAGAACTCTAACCTCCCACTGGTAGAAGTGTACCCCTCGATTTGACGAACATGGTTCCAATGAACAGTGGTTTGATTAAACCCATGGTGATGGAAGGCTTACATATGACTTAATATACTTTATTTGAGGGTTTTTATTTTACGTCTCACCAGTTTTATTATCTTTGTTAGAATGACATTGTTTGGCATGTTGTGAAACATTCAATCTTAGCATGCATTCTAAGCAAAATATAAATGTGTCGGTACATGGCCCAACTAAAACCGATTTCCTTGAGCCTAGAGGAATTGGTAGGTCACCTAGGGATCATGTAATAAATATCTTAAGTCTTCAGGTATGATTGCCTCGTCCTTGCTTCGTCTTCAAGTACATTACAAAATACATCATACTAAATTTACAGTGAAATTAATTATTACACTAATTTTACATCAATAAATTTAGAAGCTTCGATTTACATTCAAGGGGAATGAGATAAGAAAATGTACATCGAGAAGGTAGAGAACGGTAGGGCACGCAAGCCCCTAGTTAAATATTACAATTATATATACCCAAAAATACTTTAAAACATTCACCATAGGTATAAAGGCTCATGTACTGAGCACCGTGCAATTTTTCAAACAAGAATTATTGCACACATTCAAAACAATCAATTTTGAATTGGGTGGGTTGAATTATAAAAATGACCCTCTTGAATTTGCAGAATTATGCATTGATCCAGCATTAAAAATGCTACAGCAACATTCATACTAAAGCATGGTTTTATCATGCTACGGGGCGCAGCAGGAACATGTTTGAGCTACGGTGAAGTTTTATTTCGCCACGGCATAAAACTAGCAACTCGCGATTTGACGATGCATTTGCGCCATGGCGTATTCCTCTCACGCCATGGCACAATCACACAATCTTACGATTCAATGCACTACATCGTCGTAATCACACTGTGCCATAGTTTTATTACGTCATGTCTAAAATGCGCGTTTTGCATTTGACGACGACTTTGCACTACGGCGAAGTGTTATTTTGTTGCGGCTCAAATTGTGCGATTGCGCAATCACATTGCGTAATCACACCGTGGCCCAAAGGCGTGATTATGGTTGCTTGATGTTTTCCTGTAGTTACGCCACGACATATTTACATAATCTTGGTTTACAAAACTCTACACTGTGACGCAGAAGAATTGTGTCGTGGAGCAAAACGAAGTTTCTAGATTATTGTTCATGTGCGTATCACAAAAACGATCCAATGCGAATCCCTCAACAAATCCAACACATCAGTTAATCAATTTAAGCAATATTAACAAATCAATAAACCAGACATGTAATATCCAACAATCAATTCAGTTAATCAATCTAAATACTGTTAAAATATATACTATCAAGAATGCTAGGCTCTGATACCACTGTAAGTAAATCGATGGGGTAAATGCAAAGGAAAAAAAAAAATATTTCCCATCTATTACTATGATTAACCCAAGATCAAGGTCTGATATGTATATATTTTACATGCTTAAATTGAAAAGAACAAAGGTAACATTAATCCAGACAAGGATCAGAGATCTTACGCACGTTTGAAGGCTCCTTCAAATGTCTCCGAATCTACTTTGCTATCGATCCAAGAATAGGATAAACAAACGGTGATCCACACAAAGACAATCTGAAGAACCAAAGAGGGATTTGCTAGATCCTCTTTGGCTTCAAGAATCAAAACTTGAATCAAAGAAAAAACTTTGATTCAAAGCAAAGGGGAGAACGTGAGAAGCGAGAGGGCTGCCTC